GGTGAAACACGGGCACAGTGTGCCCAGAGAAGCTGTGGCTGCCCCCTTGCTGGCAGGGTTCAAGGCCAGGCTGGACGAGGCTGGGAGCACCCTGGGCTGGTGGAAGATGTCCCTGCTGATGGCAGGGGGGTTGGAACCAGATGAGATTTAAGGTCCCTTCCCACCCAAACCAGTCTGTGACTCCGTAAGCAGAAAAAAGGCCAAGACAAATCTACACAACGTGCGCGTGCCTCGCACATTGGCTTAGTTTAGATTTTCCTATTTCACTTTTTACCTCTTTGACATTTTCTCTCAAAACAACCCCGGCTCCTCAGCAGCAGCAGATCAGTTCTCAGCCTCAACCCCGCCAGCGCACAGCGCGCAGCGAGAGAAGCGCAGTGGTTCCAGCGGAGCCACCTACGCCGTCCGCGCGCGGGGAGAGGAATCCTAGCTCATGGCACCGTCCTCTGGTCCAAACCCACAGAAAATCAAGCACAGCGCGAGCTGGCTTCCTCCTCCCAGTTTAACTGGTGAAAAAGGTTGCACATAAAGATTACTTTTAAAAGTGTGAAGCAGATAAATTGAGGAATCCACACTTTTCCCCTGCAAATGTTCTCCGCCTGCTATTAACAGACTGAGGATAATTTATCTTTTCTAGATACAAGTTGAGATCAGTGAAGTTACGCTTTCAGGGCTAAAATTGCATTGCAGTTTTAATTACGCTTTCATTTCTGGGATAGTAATTAACTCCAGCGAACTACACCCCTGTGAATAAGCCCAGCTCCTTCAGCTCCACCTTCAGCACAGGGGTGCTCGCTAGCAAGCATGGAGACTTCGTGTGTGTGCTTGGAGGGGAAGTTCATGCCACAATTCGTGATCCTGAGGAACGGTTCCTCTTCAGGATTGTCCTCATCCAGCGTATCACAGAATCACAGAATAGTAGGGGTTGGAAGGGACCTCTGTGGGTCATCTAGTCCAACCCCCCTGCCCAAGCAGGGTCACCTACAGCAAGCTGCACAGGACCTTGTCCAGGCGGGTCTTGAATATCTCCAGAGAAGGAGACTCCCCAGCCCCTCTGGGCAGCCTGGGCCAGGGCTCCATCACCCTCAGAGGGAAGAAGTTCTTCCTCATGTTCAGACGGAACTTCGTGTGCCTCAGTTTGTGCCCATTGCCCCTTGTCCTGTCACTGGGCACCACTGAAAAGAGCTTGGCCCCATCCTCCTGACCCCCACCCTGCAGATATTTGTAGGCATTTATAAGGTCCCCTCGCAGCCTTCTCTTCTTCAGGCTGAAATTTCCAAACGGACAAAAGTCACCTGAGCATTCAAGGAGAACTCCCCAGCTGAGGCACTTACCTTCAGCGTGTAGACGCCCATGCGCCCCGGGACCTTATAGAAAATGCCCTCTTCCCCTCGGGAGTTGGTGTGTAGCATCGCATTCAGGCATGCCAGGGGAGAAGTCCCGCTGAAAACAGAAACACAGGGTCAGCGTTCGGACGTATTCGCTCAGCGTCCGTCTTCTGCTGGGAGACAACCCTGGCCCCACACCCGACCATCACGCATGCAGAGGAGGAAAGATTCCAGATCCAACTTCTACTCCCAAGGAGAAGACAAGCTGAAGCTGCCATAATAAGCAACATAAGAAGCAAAACCAGTCCAGGCACCCACACTCCGGTTCCAGGAAAAAAATCAAACAGAAAACCCCCAGGTTCAGGCTCCCCAGTACTTTTTTGTAGAACGTCAAGACGGTCACACATTTTTAGAGCTTTAGATACTCCAGACTGCTCATCTGAAACTCAGAGCAGATCTGCTGCGAGTTAAGTACTAACTGCAAAGGCATTTCAAGTTGCGTTGTGGATTTTTTCCAAAAAACCCCCATGTGATACTGAAACGAGGGTTGTGGGATAAAGAACGGGAACCAGTTACGCAATTTCTCCTGAAAAGAGCGGAGAGCTTCGACCCCAGCCAGGAGAACCAAGGCAGAAGATCCATCTTTTCACTGGGGCTGATGGGGGTTTCTTTGTTTGGTTTTTTCCAACCCATCCCACTGCAGACAGAAGCAAAATCGGGTGGACACGGCAAGACGGGCGACTGGTGCTGCCGCGGCAGGGCCACGCTGATCACAGCCCCTACCCAAGGGGT